CCATTTTGTGCGGTCCGCACTGTGTGACTTCTGCAACCTTCTGCATTTTTTCTGCAATTCTGCTTCTTAACTGCTGCAACTGATACTAACAAGTTTATTAGGATTGTGTTTGCAGACAATGGTGAAACAACGAGGTAAATAACCAGGCAGAGGAGAATCCTCCCGGGGAGGGAAGCAGAAAATGATAAAACTGACTCCTCAAGCCCGACAAAATATTAAGAAGACAAGAAAGTTGATAAAAGCCGCTGATAGAGCTGCTTCCCAGTCTTCGGGGAGTGAGTATGAGCCCTCCCGGGAGATTTCATCAGACTCCGTGCCAGAGTACATCGAAGACTGGACGGAGAGGTTCCGGCTAAGAGACACACCTCCAGCATCCCCCACTGCCCGAGCGTCAGTGAATGTTTCTTCTAGGTCGTCTGAAGGCTCAACTAAAGGTAGTGGGTAATACTCCAGCTAAAATTTCTATCTCGATCACTTCAAGTCAGCTCCAACTGTGATCAAATTTCAGTATGAATTTCCAAAAGGCACTATAAGCAATATTTAATAGCAACAGAATCATGATTACATTTTTTCGGGAAATGACTCGAACTAGAATAATTAGCCACGAGTAAATATAAAATTTATAGGGAAGGAGAGAGCATTTTGTGGCGATGAAAGGTATTAATAGGCGATGATTTCATTCAGCAAGAGAAAATTAAACTACATGCGTGTATTGAGTTAATTGAATCATAATTTATAGATATTGAGCAAATATATTTTTTTGTATACACAAAATCATCACATAACTAAAAAAAAACCGTTACTCCTGTTCCCATTAATTATCAATATTTTACTTTGTGAATATTATAAAAATATAGCCTATCAGATAAATAATTTTGCTTATGAAAATAGAAGCAAGAACAAAGAGAGAAAATCGATGAAGAGAGCAATAAAATATTTCTTACTTTGGATTGAAGGAAGAAAGGTCCCGTATAGGTTAGGTATAGATTCGTTGCCCCTGAAGCCTTTAAAGACTTTCTTAATGGATGAACAGATAATAATTTTATATGAAGTAGGTATGTATAGTAATTATTATCCAAATAGGTATAACCGGGTAATTAGTTTTAATTTAATAGGTAGACTCCATAAATTCCTCTAAAGAAAAAGCCTCATTGTTGACTTGAAGGACTTAATATATACAAATAAAAAGCCTTATACGACAATGCAACAGTGAACTGGAATCCACATTAAACAGGGAGTGTATCAGGCTATCAGCCATAGGCTATTAGTAGTAATTTCACGGTACTATTTTTTCTTAAAATTAAACTTGTCATGTCATTAAATCTCAGGGAAAAATATAATATTCGGTAAAGATAACCGTTGAATTAAGCTAATCAGGTAAAGTTTGATGATAGCTAATTACACAAAGTCGAGTGACCATATGATCGATCAACTCGCAAAAACGTGGAGGTAAAACTACTTATTTTATTACTCCTCATAATAAGAGCAAGAAAACCAGTCTTTCTTATAATGTAAATAGAAATCAACTTTTTTTTCTCTTTCTTTCGAACTATATCTACTTTAAGAAACAACTCTTTACTGCTCTTTCTAATTTCTTCTGAAACTTCCAAATAAAAATAAAATTTCATAAAGTTTCCATCTTCTTTTTAAGCAGAAAGAAAAATCCGTCTAAAATCATCATTCTAGGTCTACCAAGCTAGTTAAACTGAACTTTTAATAATAGCATTTGCAAAAGTTAATTAAATGTTAATCAATCTAAGTAATATTCACTAACCAAAAACTCACACCCTATGCTATACAATGACATAACTACGTGTACGCTCCAATATAGATAGCTATCGCTGTCTCTTGTCAACTTCCTGTTTTGACATATGTAGCTTCATTTCAATCTTTATCTAATTGTAATCATTTGGTGATATTGCATTTTGCAAATAATCATCTCATTTGACTTCTGAATAATTAGAGCACTACGTTTAATAATTGAAGCCACAAGAACCAAACTCTTATTCACACCTACAACAAGAACAACTATTGCAATCCAGTGTAATCCCATAACTGGGGTCTGAGGAGAGTAGAGTGTACGCAAACCTTACTCCTACCTTCAAGAAGGCAGAGAGGTTGTTTCCGATAGACACTCGGCTCAGTAAAGAAAAAGGAAGGGCAAGAACAAGCACACTAAACTCTTATACCAGAAGATTCCACTCTCCGTTTACTTTGGTTTGCCATCCAGTATTCACTTATGGGGTCCGCTAGTCCGGACTTATGCGGAGAAATCTCGATTTGGAGGTAAAATGCTTCCAATCAAAGGCAATATAACTCTACTCTTAGGCTTCGAACTCGAAACATCTATTTCGGAATGAAAAAATATTTATCGCCCCACTACAACTTTTGATGGTCTATCTCCTTTCTTGATTTTTTTTATCAGCATTCCATCTCATGAATATGAATTTTAAAATTCTTGTAAGGTACACATGTCTAATGTCTATCAACTCCTTATTCACATTTCTCTTCTTTTGGTGTGTTGTATTATTGTCCACCTTGAATGTATAATGTATTCATTCTATAGGTACTCCACTATGGTAGTGGAATGATACGTGGGTCGGCACACTCTCATCATAGTATGGCTATCACATGAGGAGTCCAAAAAGCCTTCTTCAATTGCATGCCTTTAAATCTCATCCACAAACTTTAGTCCGGCCCATTATGTTAATAATGCTAAATGTCCCCCACTGCCTATAATTGTTAATGTTTACCAAACCATAACCTAAGTTTCTAAAACTATAAATACCGTTACAATTATCATGTTTCACCACAACAAGATAAAATCAAGCATTACTAGCTAAATAGAGGAATACTTGTTGACAAACGTTTGCTTTTATAATTTTGGTACTTTTACTATTTTAAATATGGCTAGGGTGAAGGCATTGGGCTTTCTTGCTTTGCTTGTTTTGTCAACTCTTATTATGGACTCTGAAGGTCGGGTGGCACGAAAGGATTTGGGCCTAGACTTGGGTGGTGGTATAGGAGTGGGCGTTGGTGCTGGTGTAGGCTTGGGCTTAGGAGGTGGAAGTGGTTCAGGAGCCGGTGCGGGAGCAGGTTCTGGCTCTGGCTCTGGCTCAAGATCGAGTTCTAGTTCAAGCTCAAGCTCAGGTTCAACTTCCTCGGGCAATGGCGGTGCAGGTTCAGAGGCAAGCTCGTACGCTGGATCAAGAGCTGGTTCTGGTTCTGGTTCCGGCAATCGAGGTGGATCAAGTGGTGCAGGTTCAGAGGCAGGCTCATACGCTGGATCAAGAGCTGGTTCTGATTCCGGTAATTAAGGTGGATTATTTGTGCTCGTGGACTCGGAGGTGACTATGGTAATTAAATATTCCATTAGAAAAAAGGGAGATTACTACTTTTGTAATGAATAAGAATAAAGAATATTGTACCAGTTTGTGCCGTTGTCACTTGTGTATTAGATTAAATGGAGTAATTGAAGTATGGTTTGTGTTTTATGTTCTCTCTTTCGCTACAAGAAATTATTTTACGTGCACATTAGGTTATGTTAATCTACACCCACGTTTTATTTATTTTTGAGACATTAATTTTAACCAAACTTGTTAGTCCAAAAGCCAGCTAAATTTACCTTTTCAACTAGATGACAGATTTTAGCCGTATTAGTCATAAGTATAGTCCGTGCAAGTAGTACTATTTATATAAGTGACTCAGTGGATATCTTACTGTAATCACAGCTCATATATATATGGCAGATCAATGTTAAAGTCAAGCCTATAGACCGTAGACAGCTAAGTTGCTTGGACAAGGGTACGGGTGTCCGATACGGGTACGGATCTAGAGATCGGATCCTTCGAGATGTAAATTCTAAGATTCGGGACTAAAGATCCTTGTACAGATACGGGTGCGGGGATCCGGCTAAAAATAATTCAAAAAAATAAACTATAGAAATATCACTAAATTGAAATTTTGTGGAATACTTACGTATAACTTGTAAAGTGTGGGTTTTTTTTTTTATTCTCAAGTTGTAGATAAGTAAAAGAATGATTTCCTCGATATAGTATGCTATTTTTTTTCAAATTTACCCTAGTTTTGGTTCTGATTTTGAGAATCAAATTGTATCTCGTCTCAAATTCTTTCGTCTGTCGTGGTCAAAGTACCCAAAATTGTTTGACCAAATCCGGTACGAATCCCATACCTATACCCATACCTATACTAGTGTCGTGTCGATGCGGGTGCGGCACCTAAACTGCCGTGTCGGAGCAACTTAGGTAGACAGACACTGCGTCACAGCTCTTGTATCATGTCAACTTACTATTCATAGATTCTGTAAGTTTAGTCCTTCCATTAATTACGACAGTTCATCAACTTTATCAATAAATCGATGGATTTATGCCTGTTCATTAAAGGAAACTAGGTGACAGAAAATTAATAGGATTTACTAACTCATTAAGAGCTAATAACTATATCTGCAATCTCTTTAATTTTAGACAGGAAAGTTAATTGTTTTCCTCATTTTATATAAATTGGAAGGGGGCACATTTTGGAAGTTGACATAGGGCTATACAAAGGCATAAAGCTAGTTAGTCTCTCTTTTTTTTTTTTTCATCTAATGCTCGGTACCTACTTCAAGATTCGATAATATGAATTCGCGTCAGAGAATTTCACTTTGAGAAGTGAAATAATTCCTACCAAAAACGACTTCATTCTCAAAACTTCAACTCAAAATTTTAGCTATAGAAGGAAGGTCCTTAGCATCCTACCACAGCCTTTGATGACAGTTAGATCATTATTAAAGATTAAATTCTAATAATATTTCGAAAAGAAAAACTTCATTACTTTAGGGATAGAAATGGATTATTTGTTAGATATTTGTTCATTGCAAGATATGGTATATAATTCGACATTTAATTTATAGTCCCGAAAAAAATAGGAAACTAATTTGAAAAAAGAAAATCAAGAAACAAAACAGCATCAATTTATAAGCTCTTACTGGTGTTTTCATTATTACAATTTTACAACAGACGGAATGTGCTGGATTAGTCAAAAGAACACACTTTGCTTCAAAGCTACTCCCCCGGTTCACAATAAGTGATTAATTTGCTTTGGGCAAATATAATATTGCCCGAGGGGCCGATTAGTTAGTGTGACTAAACTACCCTTAATTAAATGTTGTAGCATAGTTATAGTAGCACTTACTTCTCTTCTCAAATGTGAGGAGTAAATGACTTTTTCAGGATACGTACATAGGGTAATTTTAGAAAAATAAATTAAATTTTTCTTGATTATATAAATGGACACTTATTTTGGACCAAAATAAAAAAGCAAATTGGTCACTTATTGTGGACTGGAGGGAGTAACACCTAACTAATTTCACATTCAACCTATATTTAAGGTTTCTTTTGTTTAATCACATTCCAACCACCCAAGATTGGAATCTTAATCTTCTTTTGAAAGATATTATACACTTAAAGAAATATATTAAGTCAAGGATGAAGGATCAAGGAAAATTCCATAATATTGAAATGGATGGCTCATTGCACCACCCATAACTCCCTGCATGTTAATGTATTTATTAATATATTCTCTCTATCTTTTTTTATAGCATAAGTGATAAGTTACATTAGTCTCATCAAAGAGTTAAAATTATTAATTTTTGGCTAAACCGTGGAAAATAAAAGGCTCACTAAATGAGTTATCTTTCAACCCCGAATAGTTGAGCTGATTATTTTCAAGATTTTTGAGTAACTTGTAAGATTGCAATTGTTATACATTAAAATTTTTCACAATACGGCCTTCTGTAAGTATTGTCTAATAAAAAAAAAATTATAATTAATATTTTATTACGACGTGCAAGTTGCACCAAACGTGTCTCCTTGTACGGCTGACAGGATTAGCTTAATTAAAGCATATACTAACTTAGGGTTCCATATATTTTTCAAAAATATAGCAAAACATGTAGCTTAATCTTCTCATGTGGTCCATATGCAGTGAGGTTTTTAGAAATATGTTTCTTTGTTTGGTTTCATTTGATATTAGTGCTACAACATGCGCAGCGGAACCAAGCATACAATTCAAACATCACAAACATGTAAACTAGACAATGATATATAATTCGGAGATTAGAAGAACTAACCTCTTGAAAACGTTACACAGATCCTCCACAGAGAAAGACTCTAGGGCTGCAGTCTTCTGCTATACCTTGTAAAACCTTGGGACGAAATTGTTTTGAGTGAGCAACAACAATACAATTCTGAAGAGTGAGTTATTGGGTGAAAAACGTCTTCCTTATGTAGACACGAAATTCAGCCAAAAGGCAGCTCAAAAACGTGTAGGATTCTGCTTGTGCGAATAGAATCCTATTCTAACTCAAAATGATGACTTTTCTCCCAAGTCACTTTTTATCCAAGTTTGTCCGGGTTTTCACTAGGTATAGCAGGGACCATATAAACCATAAGAGGCTATCAATTATAGCATCAATTCGAAAATTTGGATGAATTAATTTCTACTATAATTAATTACAGTTTATTCCACCAAAAAATTGCAATTGAACTCCTCAATATGAATTTCGAAAATTCATTAACACTTATTTTAATTTCTCATGTTAAGATCACAAATACCAATTAATTAAATTAAATTACTGATAATTTAATTTAATTTAATCAACTAATTAAATCCTTCATAATTCCACTTAAACTATTTCATGTGACGGATACAAAATTCATCGGCCGAATTTTCACATAAAAACTTATAAGCTTACATAAAAGGGTATCATCAAACTCAAAACCGAGTCATGGATTCTATCAACTAATTATTATTTCACAAATGCTATTCGTTATTGTCCAATCTATTAGGCATACACTAACTCTGAATAGAGTTGTACATTTTGTTAAATCAAAATAATAAACAAATTACATTGATCATAATAATTATATCAAGATTAGGAGTATAAACTCATTTAATGAATTAGATAAAACGTTTTATATATATTCAGTACAAAATATTTTTTCTCTACTTGATCCGTTTAATATACACTAAGTATACTAGCACAAGAAGTCGGAGTAAAACCACTCCCATAATCAAGATAAATTATACTTTAATCTCGTGCTACATCAAGATATTTTGCCCAATAATATCTTCGATTGTGAACATAATTTATTAATTATATGAACGGAACAATTTAATCTTCTGTGCATGAGCTATGACTCCATAAACTAAATTGTCTACTACATAACTAAATGTCACACATGTAACAAATGATCTATTCAAAATAATACTTTATTGAATTGAATAAATCAAAAAAATAATTGTTCCATAAAAAATAAAATACAATACTAATATCTTAACAATTAGGTACTCATTCGAGCTTGATTAAATTTAAATTCATAATGGGAAGTCCCATATTAAAGACAATTAGATATTCAAAGCTCGAACTCTAGAATTTTGATTAAAGACAAAAGAATATTTACTACTTCATTACAATTCTTATTAATAGCAATATTATGTTTCTTCCAAAGGCAGAATAATATAGGAACTTACTATTATACACTTATACTTCTTGAGTAGAGATTTTACGCTTTCCTTTACTCGGTCACAAATTGGGATCGATGTCAAAATAATTTTAATTCCACACCTTAATGTGTCTCTTTAATTGAGGACAAGAATGAGGAAACGTGTCTTAGGTGGTTTAGTCATGTGAGGTGGAGGAGCACAGACGTCCCGATGAGGAGGTGTGAGAGGTTGACATTGGAAGGCCTATAGAGAGGTAGAGGTAAGTCAAAGAAGAGGTGGGTAGAGGGGATTAGGCAAGATATGACATAGTTTCAGCTGACCGAGGACATGACCATTGATAGGAAGGTATGAAGGCCGAGGATTAGGGTAATAGAGTAGGTAGTTTAGAGTGTTCATAACAGTAATATTGGCATGCAATCTCACTTTCTGTTGGTAGTAGGTTTTTATGCCTAACCGTTATTTTTTTTCATCGTTGATTACCTTACTGTCTTATTGTTTTTATTCTGTTTTTATAGGCTTTTTGGTACTGTTCCTTCTTTTCTATATTTTCATTAATGTGATGCTTATGCTTTCCTGAGCCGAGAGTCTATTGGAAACAACCTCTCTTTCCTCACAAGGTAGAGGTAAGATCTGCGTACACACTACCCTCCCTAAGCTCCACGGCGTGGGATAATACTGGGTATGTTGTTGTTGTTGTTGTTTAAAAAACCATTTTCTTTGTTTCCAATTAGAGCCTTTTCTATTATATAAATAAAGAATTTGAAGAAAATAATTTAATTACATGGCAAAAATTAGCTCAACAAGTTAAAAGTCAAAAATTAGAGTATTATATATAT